CTGACTTGCATTTTTAATGGAGATAAAATGAAGCATTTAATACATGACGTAGATGAAGACATGAATGAAACTACAGACAAACTTAACTCTTCTCTCATTCTTCCTTTCAGTAAGGACTATGAGTTCTGTTCAAATGGTGTTTATTTCTATTGTGGAAAGATGGGTTCAGGTAAGACATTTAACCTCATTCGTCATATACTCATAACAGAGCGTTTAGGAAACGACTCTTACTATGACCAAATCATTATATCAGCAACTTCAGACTCTATGGATTCAACAGCGAAAACATTTATGTCAAAAGTTCAAGCCTCTGTCGTTAAAGTTCCAGACAGTGAACTCATTGAATTTCTTCAACGTTACATTCGACGTAAGAGGAAATATTATGCCATTGTTGAATTTATACAGTCAGGAATGCAAAAGACTTCAGAAGAGATGGAAAGAATTATTGACAAACACCACTTACGTCAGTACTCAGGAGTTTACGATATGAAACGACTGACAAACTACATTCTATCAAAACTTTCAAAATACCCCTTCAAAAAGTATCCTTCAAACACTCTGCTCGTTTGTGACGACTTCGCCGGAAAAGGTTTAGTGTCAAAGCCTGACTCACCATTAGCTAACATCATAACTAAAGTCAGACATTACCATTTAACTGTAGCAATACTTATGCAAACATGGCGTTTCCTTGCTTTAAACATAAAACGTCTCATAACTGACTTCGTTATCTTTCAAGGTTTCTCACGCTATGATATTGAACTCATTTGGAAACAGTCAGGTATAACATTACCTTTTGAAGAAATTTGGGAAGCATATAAGTCTCTCATCTCTCCTCGTTCATACCTTGAGATTCATATCATGACTAATACCATTAAAGTCAAAAATATTCCATGGGAACGACCAACATTGTTTTAAAGTTTAACCTTCAATTGACTGATGGTAAACAAATTCCATGCATCTCTGTCGCCATTTCTGTTAATATTTTTGCTGTCATTCATATCATCCACTTTCCATCGTTACTTTTGAGGATATGCGTTAGAATAGCTGTTCTTAAATGAAGGCTTTTCACCTTTGAGAGCATAAACTCTATAACTTTCTGCATACTTTATGTTTGAACCTCCTGAGCCATCATTGACATAAATTTTTATAGGCTTCCACCCTTTGTTCATGTTCCTGCTTCTTCCCTTAGCTCTTTTGTTCAGTAGTTCTACATCTTTATACACAGCTCCTGTCTCAGTGAATTCAACAATATTTTCATTCGTTAGCTTTACATTCAAACCCTTGTCGAGTATATTGTTCATTTCATACATATAAAAGGTTTTTATTCTATATGAAATGAGAAGCAAATCCATCTTAGCTGGTGCCGTTAATGTTCCAATTGAACCAACATCAAATGTTGACTCACGAACGACAAACAATATTGTCATAAAGAACTATAGTTCAGAGTGTTTGAAAGAAAAAGAACCAGAGCTGAAATCCGTGAATTTAAACACAGCTTCAAACGCTAACGCTACATCAGATGTTAAGTTAGAGTATCCACCACTGGACCAAATTCTTTCAAGAGAAGCCAACGACAACCCTTACACAAATGTTCAAACAAATCCTTCAGATAACGTAGACCATTACCTTCTTCAGTTATACCAAACAATTTTACTCAAAGACGATAAGAAGCTTTTGACAAATCTTATAAGCAAGAACCAAATAATTCTAACAAAGGAGGACCTTGAAAATGTTATATCACGAATAACAGGGAAACAATGTGTCATTGACTATCTCGACCCTGAAATCGAATGCTGTGGTCAAACTCCACTATTCATGAAAATAGGTAACATCCGCATCATTGAAACACCAGGAACTACAGGAGTTGAGTTTAAGTATAAATATTCGAACGAGTATACAAAACTTTCAACAGAATATAAACTTTGCTTGAAATATGTTTTAGTAAATTAAAGCAATTTGTAATATCTATCCAAAACTTCTTCAACAGTATCGAACTCATCTTCATAATGCAAACCTAATCTTATTGACTTGGTGCAGTTTTCACTAACACAATATTTTTCTGTTCTCTTGACTGACATAACTAACTCATTTGTTTCATCAAACAGCAACAACCAAAGTTCATGACCTAATACATAACATTCATACTTTATATTTTTAGCTCTGAGTTCTCTTGTAAGCTGTTGCATTTAATATTTTCTAAAAAGTCAACTTCAACAGTCATTCGCACTGGTGCCTTCAGTTCTACAGGCTCTCCTTGAAAGTCAACAAGTCTGAATTGCATGTCTTTCAAATTATGAGGACTAATGCGAACCCATTTACCTAAATGAGTTGCTATGACAGGAACGTTTGGAATGAACATTGAATTGACTGCATAACAGAAAGACTTATATTCTACTGAACCTTTACTATTAACTCCTGAAATACCTGTGACATTAGCTATTTTAGACTCAATGTATAAACAATTGCCATAACATACGTATGGAACAGATTTCATCTCAATCGTTTTGTCAACACTTTTCAAAGGAAATGTCATATGGTATGCTCCTAAAAGAAGTTGAACTCTATGACTCATTCGTGTTATCTTGAACTCTTTCTTGCTACTGAACTTCAATGTTCCCTCAGAAGAGAGTTCGACATCTATGTTGTCAATAGTTTCTTCATTTATGAGAGTATCTATGACTCCAGCAATTTTATCTATTCTATACTCTGCTCTGTTAGGAAATGTTATAAAACTTCTTTTGTCATCTATTTCAATCTCTATGAAATCTGTTTCATCTGTTATGACAAAAGTTGCGATAGTATTGAAGTCAACAACTCTGAATGCAAGCGCTTCATTCTGAAGACCTAAGTTTGTTTGTAGCTTTACTGTCCCGTATTCGTTTGGGTCTGTACTTTGCAAATAGAACAACATTTTATTCTCATTAAAATATGACTATTGCTGCATATGCGTATGAAACAAATGAAGCAAGAAGAGCACATGAACTAGTAAACGAAAACTCAACTTTAACCATTGAAGGCAATGATTTAGTCATTGACGATGGAAAAACTAAAAAAGTCATTGATTTCGATACTTTTAACACTTATGACCCATTCATTACAATAAGTAAAGTTCCTATCATAAATGATGGAACGGTGCAATATATAAATTCTACAGTAGATGCCTCATTAGTGAAAGTATTAAATGTTCTCATTGAATTGTTAAAGAGCTTTCGATTTGACGACAACATTAAATGCTTAAAGAATTTAGTCATGAATGAGAAACAAATTCTTGGCGTTGCTGGTAGCAGTAATGATGTACACCTTATGACATTAGAATATTATAACGAACATAAAGATGAACTGAAAGGAGAGAAGGGTGACACCGGACCACAAGGACCACAAGGAATACAAGGAATACAAGGAATTCAAGGAATCAAGGACCTCAAGGCGAAAACGGTTTGGATGGAAAGGATGGAAAGGATGGAAAAACTGCTAAATCATGGATATGGGACCTTATAAATACTGGTTTAACAGCTGCTTCATATGGAGTTCTTCAATACCAAATCGGAAAGATATGGGCAGTACTTGGTGAAGAAGTTTTAAATGACGTTAAAAATGCTTTGAACTTCATTTCAAATGGTTCGGATACTATTAAAACTTTATCTGGTTGGATGCAAGAAACAAGGAGTCAAATAGATACTGTAAGACGTATAGCAAACAATGCACGTACGGGATTGGATACTTTACGACAAGCACAAAATACACTAAAGGAAGCAAATGATATTCTTGGCTCAGTATCAGACATGCATGAAGATTGGCTTAAAGGTATTGACAAATCTTTAAAAAATCACAGTCAGTCTATTGCTGACTACAAGAAAAGTATAGATTTTTTACATAGTGCTATGGACGTACATGATGGAAGCATAAGGAACTTACTTAATGCTAACAATAACTTACCAGGAACTATTAAAGCATTTATAAAGTCCTTTGTAAAACCCGGTGCTCTAACATTTAGGTCTTTGAGAGCAAGAGCATTGAAGTCAAGAGATGCAGAAACTCCAACAGAACCTACAGAAGGAACTGAAACAACAGAAACTCCAGAAGAACCACCAAAACCAACAGCTAATGAAATATTGTTCGAATATTTTCCAAGGTACTCTGTTCTCATTGCATACATTCAAGAAATACTTAAGAAAGCAGACTTGACTTTAGGAGATGATGAAAGTTCTGTATATCTTTCGTTCCAGTTTCAAATAGCAGAACTTTTGAGACAGATATGCTTAATGTATGACAACATCTCTGATTTCACAAGATATGATGACGACCATGACCCCGAACACGGTGAAGAAGAAGTTTTACAAACATCCATTAAGACAGGAAAGGTTTTAACACAAAGTCTCATTATTGACACCAAAGATGGCGAAGTGGACGTTCTTCAAGAGCTGAAGAAAAATACTTCTTCGGGAGGTGGTGGTAGGCATGAACTTGAAATAAATGAGATAGAAGAGAAATTAGCCGAAAAAGCAGATAAAGAACATAAACACAATATCTCCGATATAAATGAACTTCAAGCTACATTAAATAGTAAAGCGGACAAAAATGAACTTGACGCAATGAACAAAGTTTTGAAATCTCATAAACACAATATCTCCGATATAAATGAACTTCAAGCTACATTAAATAGTAAAGCGGACAAGAACCACGTTCATTATATAACTTCAGACGAACAGATTATAACGGACTACCATGGATATTTAACACGAAGTGATGAAGCGAAGACAAAAAATGTTAATGAAAGAAGATATAAATACATTCGTGCTAAAGGTTATGACATAAGCTGTACTGTACAGTATGACACAGGTAAAGCACCAGAAGCATTTGGTTATAACAATGAAATTTATGCTTCATACTTCTTTGTTAACGGTGTATTAGTTGAACCAAGATTTACTTTGAGAGTTAAGGCAAAAATAACTTTTGAAGATGCTATTAAAAGTAAAGCTGACAAAGATGAACTCGAAGCAATGAACAAAGTTTTGAAATCTCATAAACACAACATCTCCGATATAAATGAACTTCAAGCTACATTAGATAAGAAAGCCGACAAGAACCATACACATAAATCCTTCACTACTGTTAGAGTAGACGATGTAATATTGAACTTTGACCTTGGTTCAAGTGCACCATTAGAAAATCCAAGTACAAGCGTAAAAGATACTCTTAACAATTTAGATAAGAGTTGCAGGAATATTGAAAGTCATGCCAGAAACTTTGAAGCATATGAACTACCATCAATGTTAGACAGTAAAGCCGACAAGAACCATACACATAAATCCTTCACTACTGTTAGAGTAGACGATGTAATATTGAACTTTGACCTTGGTTCAAGTGCACCTTTAGAGAATCCAAGTACAAGCGTAAAAGATACACTAAACAATTTAGATAAGAGTTGCAGGAATATTGAAAGTCATGCCAGAAACTTTGAAGCATATGAACTACCCGCAATGTTAGACAAGAAAGCAGATAAAACAGAGCTTCAAACATTAAAGACTGAAATACTTCAAACATTATATCCTATAGGCTCTATTTATACGTCAATGAACTCAACAAATCCAGAAACAGTTTTAGGTTTTGGTACATGGCAGCAGATTGTAGACAAATTCTTATACTGTGCTAACTCTTCAAAGCAAACGGGTGGTTCAAAGAAAATTACAGAAGCAAACCTTCCACCGCACACTCATACAGGAACTACAAACTTTTCTGGCGACCATAGCCACTCATTAAGAGACCACCCATTATACAACTCAGAGTATGAAGCTGGCAATGATGTTTTATCTCCATCTTATAACAATGCAGCAAAAAAGACTTTTCGACCAACTGAACCAGGAGGAAATCATGTCCATACTTTCACAACAAATCCAACAGGCTCGGGTGCAGATTATATGCCACCATTTATGACTGTATTCGCATGGTACCGCGTTGAATGAACGCGCTTGAGCCCAGACCTTTGTGTCAAGGCTTACCGTCTTGAATGAAATCTTTAACTTTACATAAATGAGCTTGAAAGAAGTATTCGAACAACATCCATGGAGGTCATTTAAGAAGTTCAATGAAGCTGCAAAGAGTCGGGGATTTACTAACAGAGCTGAAGTGAAAAAGTTCTTTGACAAAAATGTTGTACATCAAACAAAAATAAACCCTTACGACTACTTTTTACCAATTTACTCCATCACTCCCGACGCATACCAATTTGACACTCTCATTCAAAGCAGAAAAGGAGGACATAAACCATTCCTCATCTTCATTAATGTTAACACTCGTAAAGCATATGCATATCCAATGAAAAATAAAGGAACTCGTGAAGTGTTAAGAGTTTTACAAAAGTTTGTAGCAGAACATAGCCCAAGTACTTTAACATCAGACCAAGACAGTGCATACCTCAGCAACGAAATCACAGATTTTCTCATTAAGCATAACATAACTCACTACACTACTGAAGACCATAACCATAACATACTCGGCATCATAAACCGCTTCATAAGGACTCTCAGAGATTTAAACCAAGAGCGAGACTTTACCGAAGAAACAATGAAACATTTTCTCGAAGTATATAATTCCTCAACACATTCTACAACAGGACATACACCAAATTCAATGACACAACAACAAGAAGAAAAGTATATACAAAAGAAACGAAGTCAAACACAAAATATCAGAAATTCAACACAATTTACCCTCATTCCTGGTACAAAAGTTCGTGTAGTTCTTGACGACAAACCGTTGACAAAGAAACGTTTAAGGTTAAGTAGAAACTATTATATCGTAGACTCTACGCAAGGTAATGGATATCTTATAAAAGCTGCTGACGACTCTATTGCACTTTATCCTCGTCAGAAATTAGTCGAAAGTAGTAATGGCAAACTTGCTGAAACCATTGACGAAGCAAAGCGAGGAGTGGTTATTGAAATACTTGGCTACAACATAAACGATGACACTTATAAAGTAAGATATGAAGGAGGCGTTGAAGATGTTATACCATCTAAGAACTTGAGAGAATCTAAACCAACACATCTGGGACCATTAGAGCGGGAGTACTGGAAAGACAAAAATATGCCAGAAAGAATAAGAAAATTCTTCTAAACTTTTTCGTTGGATGTAAATCAGACATGAACGAGAACAGTCATGATATCATTAATGGTACCATTTATTTTAACATAAAGACGCAAACGGACTCTTTGAGTCCTGAGGTCTTTCAGACCGAAGCGGCGAGGACGAAGTCCATGACCAAAAATAATGTTTAGGGTAGATGGTTAGATCTAACCTCATTTCTACCCTCATTTCTACCCTCTTGAATTTTCATGAATTTTCCCGAAATAAAAAATAAAGTTAGTTTTATTTTATTTATTTTGTATTTTTGTATGTAAAGACATGATTTCAGGATTTTCAGGGATTTTTTTTGACGAAGTGTCAATCTTCACTTCGTCAAAAAATAACAGTTATCTAATGAAAAAGTGTCATTTTTGTATTGACGAGAATGTCGGGTAGATGGTTAGATCTAACCTCATTTCTACCCTCATTTCTACCCTCATTTCTACCCTCATTTCTACCCTCTTGAATTTTCATGAATTTTCCCGAAATAAAAAATAAAGTTAGTTTTATTTTTTTTATTTTTTTATTTTGTATAAAAGACATGATTTCAACAATCGGCACAACAACAATTCAAACAACAGCACCAAACTCGTTAGTCATGAATCCAACATCTATGTTAGTAGAGATGAAAAGCTTCATTCCTTCTTCATATACTTTTGAAACAGAAATCCAGAAGATAAAGCAAGAACTTTTAACAAGTAATTTAGACTGTAGTGCGAAAGATGAAACAAATGAACAGTATCTTTATGAAATGCAGGACCTCATCGACCATTTACCTATACTACCTGAAATCCAACAACAAAAACTAACTATTCCTGAATTCGACGAAATAGAAGTCAAAGCAACTGACTCAGTAGAAATAAAGAAGTTCATTCGTAAGGTAAACTATGAGTTTCTAGGATTTCATTGCAACCATAAGGTTATGGACAAAGATTGCGATATGGTATATAAGAATGTTTCTGACATATATAAATCTGAAGAATTTAAGACCTACGACAACTTTGTTTCGTTAGTTGCTGAATGTGTATGGCAGATAAGAGATAAAGATAGAAGAGGCAAAGTATGGAACAAACAAATAAGACCCGCTATGTTTGAGATGAAGAGAGCAATTGACGCTTTAGTTGTTTTAGCTGGTTTTATTTCAATGTATAACGCAAAAATGAACCCGCAATGTTCTAAATGTAAAGCAGCAATGAGGAAATATAACTACTCCGTCAAAGAGATAGAACGTATGAGAAACGACTATGCAGACTTAAAGAAAGAAGCAGAAAAACCAGCAGAAGATAAAATGGACATGTTAGAATTTCTGAACAAAAACTATCCAACTGCTGACGATTTCCTTCTATCTGACGTCAAGAAGAAGTATAAAGAAACTTTCGGCATTGTTAAAACATTCGATGTACTAAAAGAAGAAATAGAAGCTACAAAACTGTTTAAAGTCTCACGAATTCATAACGTTTACCATGTGAAACGCTTATAAAATAACTGGGGTAGAAAAGAGGGTAGAAATGAGGTTAGATCTAACCATCTACCCTAAAATATATTTTTATTGAATTCAGCAACAAAAATCATGAATTTCCTTAAGATAGAAAAAATAAAGTTAGTTTTATTTTTATTTATTTTTTTATTTTGTATGTAAAGACATATATGTCAAACATTGAGTTTGAAACAGTTAGAAAGATAGACAATGACACCAAATTGGTTAGAATAGGTGATTTAAACGTAAGATACTCAAAGAAATACAACAAATATTCTTTGTCAGACATTATATCTCCATCTGGAAAGAAAACACACGAGTGGGTTAGAAATGCTTCAACTCAGAAAATTTTGACAAGAAATCCTGAGCTTATGATATCAGTAAGATTCTATGGAACTACAGCATATCTCATCGACAAAAGTCTTATACCAATAGTTTTGTTATGGATTGACCCAGTTGTTGGATATAACTTCATAACTTAGGTTCATTCGATACGGAACGTTGCAGTGAAGGCTTACTTTACATCGTTCAGAAACCGAAGGACTTCAACACAAAAAGATATAAGATAGGAAGGACATATAATATAACTCAAAGATATGACTCTACAGTCAATAGAGTCACGGTTGTGTTCGTTAATGATATGAGAGCCGCAGAAACAGAACTACTCGAAAAGTTTGAGAAAATGTATGGTGCTCCCATAAAAGGTAAAGAAACGTTTGAAGTAGATGAGATAGATAAAGCTATAAAATTATTTGACGAAGTTGCTGAAAAATACATGTAAAGCGTTTATTTTTGGTCTTTTGTGAAAGATAGAAAAAATAACGCTAATTTTATTTTTATTTATTTTTTTATTTTGTATGTAAAGACAGATATGTCAACAACAGAGAACACAACAACTGCTATCGTTCATGAAGCCATAAATGAAGAATACGAATACATACAGTATAACAAACAATTGAGACTCATTCGTTCAGTCAAAGATGACATGTACCAAATGCAAAGTATAATGAATGCTCTTCTTTCTACAAAGCAAGCATATCATTGGTTTGAAAACCAACAGGCAAAAGAACTTTTAGAAGAATTTCCTCATATGATTGCTTCCCTCGGAAAACCGAGGGAAGAGATTCCGTACGAAAATCGCAAGAATTTGGCACCTGGTTTGAAAGGTTATTATGTTCATAGACTTCTTGTAAATGCTGTAGCAATGTGGGCTTCACCTCGTTATGCTTGTTATATTTTCATGATGTTAGATGAACTATATAAAGCAGAACGTGGAGAGATGGAAAAGAAACTTCAAGCAAAAGATGAAGTCATTGAATCCAAAGACAAAAGCATACAGAAAAGAATACCACGTTCGGTACCAAAAGGAAAGGAAAAGAGTTATAAGTATATGATTTACGCTGAAGAGTTGGAGAAAGAAGAAGATAGAGATATGGTTATGTTGCATTTAGTCAGAAGAAACAACAAAAGCTTTTACGACCTTGCTAAGATTTACAAATCTGACAGAAACTGGTTCTATCGTGAAAACTTACCGATTTCAATGACACCGAATGAGCAAATAAAGGAAATTGTCAAAAATACTCTTCCTCAAACACACTATGACATCAAAGGTTGTACAATACTTACCTTCAAAGAAGACTTACCGCTACTGAAGGAAAAGATAACAGAATATTTCGACAACTTCAAAGAGGAAGAATAAAAAAATCTAAGCTAATTTTATTTTTTTATAAAATTTTATCTCATATGAAAGAACATGAATTTAGAATATTCGGAACTCATGACAGAAGAAGAGAACGAACAACATGTAAAAGATTATGCAAAATTTCTGAAGACATACAAAGCATTTAAACAATATCTAAATGCTTCTAAAGATTATGCAAAATTTCTGAAGGTATATAAAGCTTATGAAAAAGCGTATGAAAAGTTTATACATTGGGGAATTGTTGTAAAATATCCATATGAAGACTAACCAAAAATATATTTTTGCTTAAATAGCTTCAGGGTCTATTTCTTCAACCATTTCACTTTCTTCGTCAATGTCAATAGAAGCTTCTTCAACCTTTGGTAAGAATTTCTGTATAACATCTTTGTTCGTTATTGTCTTCAGAGATGAAGGATAATATTTCACATTTGTTTCACCCTTCTTATATTCTTTCTGTTCGGAAAGATTTAAAGCAATACTGAAGAAGTCAATGTTAGAGTTCTTTATAACAGTATAATGAGTATCTTTGACATTGACGAAGAAACTCTTTTGTTTCAAAACTACTGCTAACTCTTGTGAAGTATAACGTTTGCGGTCAATGACGATAGCTAATGGTCTGACATACTGACCAAACTTAGATTCTTTCACAAACTTCTTGTTAAAGATAACATTAACATTTGAAGCATTATTGAACTCATTCTTGATGGCAGTAGCGAGAGCATTGTATGAAAAGAACTTGCAATCTTGCATGTGTTTCATTAAAATAAAAATATTAAATTATTTTGAAAAATAACTTAAAAAAAATCTAATCTAATTTTTTCAAAAAATATTTTTTTATTTCCTACTAAAGATGTATCGGAAGTTGTCTAAGTTAGAACACTCGGAAATAAAACAACTTCTTACAGAAGCTAATATAGATGTTGCAAAACATTACGCAACAAACAAAAAAGCACTCGCTGCCATCCTCAATGACTATAATGGTGCAATAAGTTATGATAGAATTCATGATTACATTAATAACAAAACATTTCCTTTAAATGACATTGCTATTGACTTATATCATAGACGTTCAGTACCTCATGAAGTAAGGCGTGAGATGTTTGACATAACAAATGCGAACGTTGGTGAAACAAGAAGAAGAGACGACACACTGAAACAACAGAGAAGAGAGATGTTTAAAAGTGCTATAGAACAAGTTCGCAAAGCTAACGATGTCATTCGTTCCATTGACGACAAACCAAAAGAAGGTGAGAGATGGTTAAAGAAAGATGAAGAGAATAGGAAGAGAAATGTGAAGTCAGGCAATAGACTCATTGACTTTAACATCGAAGCTTTAGATGAACCAAACAGAGACTACTTACACAAACATTTCGGTAAGGTTTTCATGAGACTCTTAGAGAAGATTAAAATAAACTCCCAACAAAGATGGATGGTATGTTATAAACTTGGTGGAAAGTATGAATGTTCTACGTTAAACCTCAATAATATTGGAACATTACTACATCAGCTCTTGAAGGAGAACTTTATATCAGAGATAGAAGCAAATGCTGCAGGTATTGTTGAAATGCACTATGACTTCTTCTTGACAAACATAAAGAATCTTACCGAAATAAAGATGTATGATTTAACAGAATATGAAGGCTTAACGATGTCAGATGTTAAGAAAGGAAAGCCACAGAAGCGACCATATAGAGATGAAAGCACACTGACAAATGACCAGAAAGCCATTTTGGAAGCTCTTAAGCAAACAGGAAACCCAGCACTTATAGAAAGCTTTTGGAAAGATAATGGTGAAAAGAAGTTTTATAAGAAGAGAAGCGGTCAGTTCTGGAAGTATCTTTGCACATTACCTATAAATCTTGAACGCTACCAAATCTTCAATGAACTGAACAAAAGAACTGCAACACTTATGACAGAAGACAATTGTTTCGTTTATGCTTGCATTCAGGCTGGAGTAGATGGAGAGACTATTGACCACATGAGAGAAGTCATTCGTGTTAGAGACTTTCCTCAAAGTAAAGTACAAGAAATTTCTGACGCAACAAGTATAGCATTTAATGTTACCATTGGTTATTTCAATGACTCAAGACATAATGAAATAAAGAGATACATACCAAAAGAATGTGAAACTGTTCGAACTATTGACTTACTTCTTGTTGAAGACCACTACATGCTAAATGAAAGATTACCAATGACAACATATTTCATTCGCAACTATATAGAAATCTTGAAGGAGTGTGGTGGAATGAACATTGAGAAACAAATGAAGATTTATACAAAGAGAGATGGTAAATACATTGTTCGCATGGATAGAACAACACCGTTATGGGATGTTATGAAAACATTGTGGGAGTGCAAATATTTTGAACCTATTTCTTATGGAGAACTTTTCACATATACGACTGACTTATATAAACAGAACCTTGCACCATTTAAAGATTTGACATATGCTCCAAAGTATTGTGTACAACTGAAGAAGAAAGCAGAGTCAAAAGAAGTAAATAAAGCTAAATGTAAGTTCATTCCTGAGCACGTTTTCTTTGCTGACTTTGAGTGCAGTACCGATGGCTTTCATAAAGCTTTTAACATATGTTATGACAGTGAAGATGGTTCAGTGAGTGAAAGCATTTGGGGTCAGAACTGTGCAACAGAATTTTTGGAACGACTTCCTGACAAGAGTTTAATATATTTCCATAACCTCAGTTATGATATAAACTTCATCTTAAGACACATGACAGAAGTGAAAGGAACTCCCATCATTAAAGGTTCACGAACAATGCAAATAACTGGCTTATATAAAGGAAGGGCAATTATTATAAAAGACTCTTACAGTGTTATAAATAAGAAGCTTAAACTATTTCCTGCTATGTTTAACTTACAAACAGGACCGAAAGAAGTATTTCCATATAACTACTACAGCAGTACTTTGTTAGCAAATGACAACAGAACTGGTGTCATTTCTGAAGCGTGTAAGTTTGTATATTGAAACGTTCATGAAAACATAGATTCCATCAAAGGTTGCAGAATAGATGAAAACCATTCGACTTAGAAAAATATAGCACGTTTTATGCAAACAAGATGTAAGAATTTTAAGAGAAGGTTTTGTAAGTTCCGCAATGACTTATTGAAAGAATTTGATTTAAACGTTTATGACTACGTTAGTATTTGTTCTATTGCTAACAAATTATTTGAGAACAGAGTATACTTCCCGAATGGAAATCTTTATGACCTCTCAAATAAACCAAGAGAATTTATTTCACGCTGTATTCAAGGTGGAAGATGTATGTTGTCAGATAACATGAAACAAAAGAGCGAAAAGAAACTCATTGCTGACTTCGACGCTGTTTCATTATATCCATCAGCTATAGCAAGACTTTATACTTTAGAAGGAATTCCAAAGGTTATGAAGAAAGAAATGTTAAGCACAGAGTATCTCATGAGACATTTATTCGATGACGACCAAAAGGAACCCATTGGTGAAAAGTTTATGTCTGGCTTCTTTGTTCTCATTAAGATAACAGAGATTGGAATACATAGACACTTTCCTTTAATAGTTTGTGACCCTGAACTAAATCCAGAACTTAACGTTCCCAGAAGTTCAAACACTTGCTGTTTAATGTATGTTGACCATATAACATTACAAGACCTCATAAAATATCAAGGTGTCAAATGTGAAGTGTTGCAAGGATACTATTACGATGGAAACAGAGATATTAGAATAAGAGATGAAGTAAAGAAGTTGTTTGAGTTAAGGTTAAAGTATAAGAAAGAAGGAAATCCTTTGCAAGAAAATATAAAGCTCATTCTGAACAGTATTTATGGCAAAACTATTCTATCTCCTATTGAGTCAAAAATAACCATAGTAGATGACAAAGATGCTATAAGATATGCCATCAGAAACTACAACCATATAGTGAAGTTCGAAGGTTTGGATGGTTCAGATAAAACTATTTTCAAGCTAACGAAAAGCATTTGCAGACACTTTAACTTCTGTCCACTTGGTGTTAACATTCTATCAATGTCGAAGAGAATAATGTGTGAAGTATTCTGTACTGCTGAGGACTTAGGAATGGACATCTTTTATAGCGATACGACAGTATGCATCTCTACAATGAAGATATCCCTCGTTTAGCTGAAGAGTTTGAGAAACGTTATGGAAGAGTTCTCATTGGTAAAAACCTTGGTCAGTTTCATAGTGACTTCGCAGAAATAACACCTGGAAAACAAAGTTTAGCATACAAGTCAATATTTTGTGGAAAGAAGACTTACATAGACTTACTCACGAATGATTTAAATGAAGTTGCATTTCACTGCAGAATGAAAGGCGTGAAGCAAGATGTTATTGCTTTAACCGCTAATGAAATGTTTCCTGACTCTGTTCAGTGTTTCTATGATGAAGATAAAGGTTTAATGGTTCCGCAAGGAAAATTTGACAAAGACTCTGAGTTCAGTGTTATGAAGTTATATAAAGCACTTTATGACGGTCAAGAGATTGGATTTGACTTATGTAAGTCTTCTAGTCCTTGCTTTGCTGAAAAGTTTAACTTCTCAATAACGACTAAAACAAGCTTTATTCGTAAGTTGAAGTTCTGAGGTCATTTATTTTTGTCAGCAATGAGGTCATGAATGAGGTCATGAATGAGGTCATTTATTTTTGTCAGAAATGAGGTCATTCGTGATAAAAATAAAGCTAGCGTAGATTTTACAATACTGCGATGGTAGAGTTTAAGAGTTGTGCTTCAATGTAGAGACAGTCCTTATGGTCTGGAGGTAAGAACACTGGGCAGTTATGGTCATGAGTGGAGAACATGTCTATCCAAAACTCACGATTGAAGCCAGTTAATTTATAGTATTTAGGGTTAGGAAGTGGTGAAGTTCTTGTATGACCAATGAACTCATTTTCAACTCCCTTACTTAAGTTTGAATATAATATAGCTTGCTTTCTATCCCAAATGCCAGGTGTTACAATCTTTGAAAATTCATTTTTCCTCGGAAGCATTGCATCATAATTGAAAACATTCTTGAAGTCTTCATTGGATTCAGAGATTTGAAATCTTATACGTAATGGATTTTTTTTCTTTTTAGCTACTTCATTGAATGGCGAGAATACAATGAATTGACAGTCATGAGTTCCATCTTCATTTTCATTAAATTCATAATGAAAGTCTATAAGTTGTGGCTGACTACCTTCTTCTTTCAGTTGTGCAAGAAACTCACGTAAAGGCTGTAAAGTTTGTACTTCAATGTTGAACTTTTTCTCGAACATCTCATTAAATGAAATCATACATTCTTGTAAAGTTGTATCGTCTTTAAAGTATTTGTATATGTGAATGTTTTGGGCGCTTAAAGACTGTTCGTCATTTTCTATCTCGACTTGAAGTATAAAGTCAACCTTTCTGAAAGCACGTGTTATATACATAGATGTTATGCCAATGTACTTCTCTTCATTTATGTTCACAATCCAGTCTGTTGGAAACTTAAACGTTACTCTGTTCCCCTTTATTTTGACGTCAGGGTTTTCACTACTGAACGCAACAGATAAAGGTATTTGTCTATACATTTAATTCGGATAAAAATAAACCATTTACTCTTTCTTTGCTTCAGCTTCTTTAGCTTTTTGTTCTTCCTTTGCTTTTGCTTCTTCTCTAGCTTTCTTCGCCAGCAAACGTGGGTTCTTTTGTCTTCCAGCAGCTAATGCAGCAAGTTGTTTTTCACTAAGTTTTCTCTTTGGTCTCTCTGGCTTTTGTTCTTGTTTTTGTTCCTTCAGTTCGGATAAAATTTGCTCGCGAATTTCTTTCTTCAATGCTTCAACATCTATGACCCCTTGGGTCTTGTCCGTAGGGCTTGTCTGAGTCATTTGACTGCAGATAAAAAACAAAATTAAAACTTTAACCGATGTAAAATGAGCTTGTCAAAATCAGAGCGAGAGTCTATTATATTAAATGACGCAAGAGGAATACAACATCCTTTCTATTACGTAAGTCAGAGTAAAGATGGTAAAATATACGTAAGAAAAAGAAAGGTTCCATTAGCGAATGCAGAGAGCGACAACATTAAGGTGCATGGCAATGTTGAAGTCCATGAAGCCCATATAAAACCTTCTGTTCAAACTGAGCCACCAAAAGAACCAGAAGAAAAGAAGCCAGATGTACTTTCAATAACGAACCAAGAGCTTATTGCAAAGTTTGTGAATTTCATTGAAAAACAAACCGAGTCAAAGAACCCTGACCCACCAGTGAAAGAAGTTGAGACAAAAGAGAATGTACAGTTCATTGAAAATGTCAAGAAACAACTTCCACCACGAATGCCAAGAAGAAGAGTGAGAATAATGAAGTAAATAGATATTTTTATCCGAAGTAAATACATGCAGAACGAACAGTTAAACGAATTTACTCCAGCAGAGCATATTCATCAGATTCGCTCATATTTCGATATCATAGACAATGCAGTTCAAATTGGTGACACTAATAGAAAATATTCTGACGCAAAGATTCCATCACAACCTGGAACTGCTAAAGATAACACATGGGTAACATTCAATCTCTCACCTCCTGGTGAAAATATGTTGGACCTTTACAATACATTCATTACGTATAAAATGGAAGGTCAATTTATTGTAGATAAAGAAATTGGTTCAGGTTCCAATAAAACAAACCCACCAGGATTTTGGATTGGTTTCGATGACGCTTTCTATGCAGTTGCTGGATATCAAATCCTTGCAAATGGTCGTATCGTATATTCTCAAGACAACGCAAGAGAAGAAGCATATATAACTTCAAACTCACAA